TCCTCCGATGATCGCCTCGAGATCTCCGATCATTCCCCTTTTATACCTTTTTAGCGTGGGAAATCTCGGGGATTCTTCTGACGCAAACTGTCACTTCTCCCGATTTATGACAGTCTCCCCCGTCATGGGTGACGACAATGCAGACATTGCTTGACCAATTAATGTTAAAGTCGTCATCACCTGGGGAGATGACTGACCATTTTTGGTAATGTTCTCACCGTAAGGGTGCCCTTGTAGGTGACCTCTTGTCTACTCTCCATACAGGAACACCCATCCGTCTCCGTCCACCGGACACCCGCAGGAGACTACTCTATTACAAGGTGTCTGCGGTGTGACCAATTAGCAAAACAAACAAATATCCCGGGGAGAGGGGATTTCTTCCGCGGTCGCCTCGGGCGACTTCGTCCTAGGGATGACCTTCTTGACGGACAAATTACGCAGTTCATTATCCGGGGTCTATTCCTCGGACATTAGGGTGAGAATGGGAGAAACAACGAAAATGATGATGAAAGAAATATAACTTGCTACTTATTTAATAAAAATCTTTTAAAAGAGTCGGATTTTCACAGTTTAATTCAGATAGTTAAAAAAAAGCAGTAAATCTATGATTTTGATAATTTAGGAGGTGTGATCCCGCCATGTTTATGACGTGTTGCATTGTTATTGGCCTGTTCTTGGCTACAGTAAGTGGGAAGATATTGTACCTGAATTGTCTCGATGTTGCTCTCATTGTTTTCCAGGATGGCGAAACAATAAGAGCAAGAGAATACGTGTATAATGTGTGTCACATGTTTGTCAAAATTTTATTTTGCAATGTTTGCATTTCAAAATTCCCAACGAGCAATGCATGCACAAATCTCACACTACCACCTGTTTGTAGAGACAGTGTTGCCATTTTGTACTTGGTTCTTGGTCTCCCCTGACTACCTACAAGTCTAGTTTTTTGTGTGTGCATAATTTGGGCACCAAATACTATGTGCCAAATTGCAACTTCTGACATGTACTCCTTAATACCTCTCAGGTGTCCATCCGTTGACAGCAGCACGATTTTATAGACAAGACATAGTCTCATCAATAAGTATCTATAATATATTTACATGAAATAGTACAATTATATTTTGATATTGTCTCTGTTTTTACCTAAAACCTACTGATTATCTCCTAAAGTATCTGAGTGGTCTAAACAGATACTTTGAGAGAGCAAAATTAGGACTATAGGAAGGGTACTTTAATATCTTGAACTTTAGTTTTGGTGAATGTGGCAGAATGCAGATAAATATTATCATGCAATAAATTTAATGTTTTGATAATAGTTTGCTATATTTGTTTTGAATTACTCATAGTGTCTAACTGTTATGAAGATTGATAATTGTTATACCTTTTTTAATAACCTTCAGATTAACTTGTTTATTAAAATATGTCAGAATCAATTTTTTCATTGATGATTGAATTTCAAAATTTTGTTTTGACTGGCAATATTGGAATGTTTCCATTCCATACCTTATCATTTGGAACATAATGTCATTTTTGGAAGTGAATAATGAATCTAGATCTTGTCCTCAAAACTAGTGCATTTAAAAAAGCTATTACCTATCACCAAAAAAGACTTTTTCTATCTCAAATGGTTATATTTGTATTATTTTGTCAGTTGTTTGGAACCATCTTTTACTAATTTTATGGAAGTTAAATCAACCATGGATAATTTTATGAACATAACTGCAATTAGTACAAAAATATAATGTCAATGTTTTGATGGCTGTTTGTCAAATATTCAAATATTATGAAATAAATGTATTCAAGTTATTTATTTCTTAAGGATTAAATTAATGTTTCAATTGCTTTTCATGAATAAACTTTTATATGGCTTTTTTTTTAACATAAAATTTATTTATATAAATCTTACAATAGATTTCTGCAATAGATTTATTTCTCTTACTATATCTTAATTTCAAAAAGTTGAATTAACTGTATGCTGCTGCTCTTTGATGCAAATAAAAAATGATTAGCCATGCCAACCAATTTTGATTGATCAGTTAAGATTGAAACCATATCACAATCATGTGTAGACTTAGTGTTGCCATCTGTGATAGAAATAAACGATGTTTTCCCGATGACAAGATTTTTACAAATACATTGTAGATAGTTTGAGACACACTATTGATGTCATAGAACATTAACTGTATTTACTAAAAAAATGTTAAAGTAATACATTTATTAATTTGTTTATCTATAAATTAATTAAATTAAAAAGATGGCGCTGAAATTAATTGTCCGACGAATGTTTTGACGTTCTTCGATGTGTCGAGAGTCGAAATTCGATGTCTTATAGTACCTAAAATATTTGACATTTCAGATTTTTCTGATAATATACTTGTCAACCCTTTTCTAATACACTATTTCATTTTTCCGTAAGAATTCTGCTCCTATTCAAACATTTCATATCAGTGAGTCAGTCAGCTGGTCAGTGAGGTCAAAGTAATTTTATTATATGAAATTTTTAAACATCAAACGAATACAATATTAATAAAATAAAAATACTGAAAATGAAAGAAACAAGCATTTAGTATTAAAAAGCAAAATAATATACAGTATAATATATAATTCGATGCAGAATCTTACTCGTAATTCGAAATACTCGTTAAGCGAAACAATTTTTCTCATATAAATTAATGTAAATGCGTTCCATGCCGAAAAAAAAATACTCAAATCTTTGAATAAATGTTATACATAAAATAAAATTATACAATATACATTGTTAAGGAGCATTAGGGGAATGTGCCTAGGGGAGGTAATGTATCCTAAGATTAAATGTAGACTCTTATAAATCATCCTTAGAATAATGCTCCCTTATGCGGATTCCTCTGGAAATNACTAAGACTAATGTGCAGAACATATGTATATATAATTTGCTTTATCTGTTCTAATATAATTGTTGGTTTAGAAAAGGAAATATAATTGTTGGTTTAGAAAATATCTGAGATTTTGTCTCTACATTGACTGTTGATTTGTAAAAATGTTTGTTTTACTTTGTATTGAATCATTGCTCTTTCAAATATTTGAACTAACTGGAGAGATAGATGACCAAAACAAGACTTAAAAGTAAAATGGGAGCAGGCATCCATTATCAAACCCACATTGAATATACACACTATGGGATATCTAGAAAAATTGGAAATTATAAAGCTCATAAAAAATCCATGTGCATCAACCATAGAGATGGCGGTCCACCTGTCCATCGCATGGCAGTCCATTTATGAAATTTAATTTTATTAAGGGATATTTATTCATTTATTTTTACTTATTATTTCTTTCTTTATTTGTTTTATTAATTTCAACTTATTTGATTTTAGGAAGTTACCTTTGGAATGTCAAATTCAAACTATATTTTCTTGGCTGGATTTACCTTCAGACAGCAGACCTTCTTTTATTACTATTCATCTTAATGAACCTGATACTACTGGCCATAATTTTGGCCCTNGAGATTCAAGTTTTGAAGATTTAAAATTATTATTATTACTTTTTAAATTTATAAAGAAAATATTAACTGTAAAATTTTTACAGAAACATCAATGTCAATGTGAGCATAATACTTGTGGAGAAAATTGTGAAATGTGCTGCCCTTTGGATAACCAGCAACCTTGGAAAGAAGGCACTAAAAAGAATGGTGCAGAATGTGAATGTAAGGATTAATTAGTTATAATCTAATATATATTTTTAAATCACATTTCCATTTTGCTCTATGAGATAGCTGTCGCAATTGAAATTCTAATTTATTTGCTGTTTGGGAAATTATTGATATTTTCCAAACAACAATAAATAAGAATGGTTAAGTAAAAAATAAATTTAAAAACTCACGCCAATATTTGTCTAGCTTCTGAGTACAAATTCACTGAGTACGGCGTTAATAAACTTCTTTAGTATTCACACAAGTACTTTCGACGTGTGTATAACCGTCGTCTTCAGGCAAAAAGAACAAATTTTTAAGAAAACAAACGTGCAGGATGTTCCAAAAATCGAATTAGACATCATCAGAGCAGCGGTATCTCTTGCAGGATTTACGTATGGTAAATATGAATATGTACTCCGTAAAGTAAAAGAGGCCCTATACCCATGTACCACATTGTACAGAAAAGAAAAAGCATCCATAATCCAGTCTTCATTGCCGTATCTTGGACCAACTTCTATATGCATCAGCCGCATATTTCGGCGGTATTAATTTCATACTACCCATAACCCCCCTACCAAACTTACGCAGATGTATCTGCAACGATCGGGACAGGCTAACCACTTTAGAAAAGTCAGGGGTTTATACGATACACCTAGAAAATCCGGCAATGGGCGATGTTAAAAGATATATAGGAGCAACAACAAGAATGCTCGCCTCCCGCCTTGCTGAGCATCAGGAAGACATAGCTAAAGGAAGATGCTCTACAGAGCTCGCTAAAAAAGTTCTCGAGCAAGGATACAACCCGTTATGGCCCAGAACGGCAATAATTAAATGCTGCAACAATCGAAGACTTGTGTTCATCTGGGAAGCGCTTCTCACGGCCACTTCAGAAGCATGCAATGTTCCCACCCTCGATCTACCCGGGGTGTGGATTGCCTTGTATCGGCGCCTAAAAAACGAAATGCGCCCAACATCATATCGCCAACGCGGTAGCATCTCCACGCATGCGCCGCTAACATCGTAAAATATAAAGATTCGAAATATCAAAAATTATTCGCACGTTCGTAATGGAATTTTCGGACGCTTGTTTGAATTTAAATATTATGTTCTTTTGGAACATCCTGCACGTTCGTTTTCTTAAAAACTTGTTCTTTTCGCCTGAAGACGACGGTTATACACATGTCGAAAGTACTTGTGTGAATACTAAAGAAGTTTATTAACGCCGTACTCAGTGAATTTGTACTCAGAAGCTATAAGAATGGTTCCTATTGGCTATCCTTGATCTATTCAGTTTAGTAATAATATAAAATTATCAATAAATCAATTATTTTTACAAAAATTAAGCAAAAACAGACTACATTTTCGTATATGCCAAAGGCAGAGTTTGAATTATTTCATTCATCTTTCAGTTCTATCTCATGCTACTGTGAAAAGTGTAGTTGTGTCAAATAGCCATGAGGATGATAATACAATATGATTAAGACAGTGCAAAATTAAAATAATAATTGATTTAATAAGAAATGATAATAATATGTACCAAAAAAAAATTATTTTAATTGTAAAAAACATTGTTTTTAATACACAGTCCAGGATTCCAATCAGTTGACTGATGCTACTGTGTGAGTTAGTATGCATAATTATGGATGTTAAATGTACTTTTTGCTCTACATTATTTTAGTTTAGTTTAGTCTGCTGCTACAATGGCCATGAAACAGAAACACACAACATTACTTTGAAAGATAAGCTGGATGTTTTGAAAAGGCTGGACAAGGGTGAAAGTGCAATGGAATTGGCAGTAGAGTTTGGAGTAGGCAAGGCCACAATAGCTGACTTGAAAAAACTGCACAAAGATCAAGCAGTTTTGTGCCTCTACTTCAGAAAAATTGGTTGAAAATCGAGAAACAGCAAGATCCTCAATGTTTGACAAGTTTGATGAAGTGGTTCACATGGTTCACTCCGGAAAGAGATAGGGGAACACCTCTATGTGGACTTCTTGTTGGAGAAAATTTTCTTTTCACTGACCAAAACATGTTTGGATATTCAGATTAGTGGTATTCAAACTAGCAGAACACTATTGTATTGCATATTAAAAAGAAAGAAGACTATATTGTTTTGTTACTTTTCTGAAAAATTGCTACTAACTTAAAGAAATATTTTAAATTTATGATTTCTAACAAAATGTTAGAAATTACTAGAGTTTTCAAAAATGATGAGAGACATATGAATGAAGTATCCAGCATTTTTAACTTTTCAAATAATATTTTCTAATATCAAAATGTTTTAAGGTATGCAAAACAAAAAAGTTTTGAAATCTTTTTGAAATTCTGAGATTCAAGTTTTGAAGATTTAAAATTATTATTATTAAATATAGACTAAAATTTCTGATTAAATTTGAAATTTCTAATATGTTAGAACTATGAAACCCATTTTGATAATTAAATAAGTTTTGTATTAATACATAAAATAATGAAAAAATATAAACTATTTCAAATAAATATTTTAATGAGAAATACTGTAAGATATGCTAGTTTTATTTTTTTATTCCATATTTCTATGTTAATATAGCATGCCAGTGTTTTGGACATGCAGAAAGATGTTATTATGATCCTATTGTTGCAAGAAAGAAATTGAGTCTTAATAGTTTTGGAAAATATGAAGGTGGTGGAGTATGTATAAAATGTCAGGTAGGTATATGAAACAGTAATTATATTACATTTGATATAATTCATATGCATATAAAAATAATGCAGTAAAAATAGTTTTGTCTCTAAAATATCTATTAGCTATTTTATCAAATTTACGTGTTACTTGTAATACTATGTACAGTGGATTCTGCTTAACTGGGACACATTGGGACTAATCCGTTTTGGCTCAATTAAGTGGCTGCCCCAATTAAATGAACTAATAGCAAGCATTTAGTAAAATTCATAGAAATATGCAGAATTTACAAATAGAACAATATTGCCAATGCTGGTAATTACTCATACTACTATTTAAAACACAAGTAATCATGGCCCATCAGAATAATTATTAAAATTGAGATTTATAATATATTAGATATTTTTTTATAGATTAAATGTATTTACAGTAGAGTGTTGATTATATGAATGTCAATCAACCAAAATGTCGATTAACCAAAATTATTCCAGTTGGACTGTGACGTGCTAAATTGAACGTTTTTGATACTAGATTAACTTCTAAAGTATAATTTTTTTGTTTTTATATTTTTCAATATACAGTAGAGCGTTGATTTTCCGAATCAATTGGGGACTGGGGTTGTCCGGATAACTGATATTTCGGATAACTGATTTGCATACGAAAAAATAGTTTAATGTATCCGATGTCGAAATTTTTCTCCGTTGCGTGTTGCTTAGCGTTGAATTTTCGTCGATGTTAAGCCTAACAAAGACTATTGTATCATTAAAAATTATTTTATGTTGTACAAACAAAATAAATATATTGAAAAATATAAAAATAATAAAAAATTATACATCAGATGTTAATTTAGTATCAAAAACGTAAAATATTTGAGTAGCCCAAGACATAGCCAAAGATTGAAGTGCCACAGCACTGGCGAAAATTTAAATTTGCCGACTGGAATTCTTTTGGATGATTGACTTTCAGAAAATCGACGCTCTACTGTATTTATTTTGTTTGTACAAAATTAAAAAATAATTTTTAACCTACAATAGCCACGATTATTATTATAAAAATTTTCATTAGGCTTAACATCGATGAAAATTCAACGCAAAGCGACACACAACGGAGAAAAATTTAAACATGGGATATATTAATATACTATTATTGGGATATACTAATATACTATATTAATAATGTTTTTTTTGTACATAATTGGTTATCCGAAAAATCGATTTTCCGAACAACCTCAGTCCCTAATTGATTCGGGTAATCAATGCTCTACTGTATTGTCAAATAAAAAATATATAATGTGTTTTAATTTGTCATATACAGTTTAACAAAAAATGGAATGGAAAAAAATACTTTTATGGTATTCAATAGTAAATATATTTAATCCATTAAAAAAATATCTAAAATATTATATATCCCAATTTTAATAATTTTTCTGACATTGAGTCACGTGAATATTTGTTTCAAATAGTAGTATGAGTAATTACCAGCATTGGCAATATTGTTCTATTTGTAAATTCTGCATATTTCTATAAATTTTACTAAATGCTTGCAACTTTTATAATAAATACCATAGAGTACAGTACTTGCCAGATTTACATCTAAAAATAAAGCATCTTCATCAATAATTTAGAACTTTAATAATACCTTATTAGGATAAAAATTATGTAAATTGATATAAATTAATTGCTAAACTTTAATAAATGTAGAAGAAAATAGTAATAAGAGTTCTTTATTTACAGTATATTAAATGCTTAATACTTGAATAATATTTACAAATTTATTAAAAAAGTAATTAAAAAATAATTTATACAAATTTTTAATTTAATTTTACAGCATCACACAATTGGTATAAACTGTGAGAAGTGTGAAGATGGTTATTTTAGACCATTAGGTATAGCACATAATAGTTCTTTTCCGTGTCACGAATGTTTTTGTACTGGACCTGGAGTCACTGGTGTATGTGTTAAAGATGACTCATATATAATGAATGGTTTGGTATGTGATTTTGGTATCAATTACAATTGTTTTAGCGTATTTGAATATATTTTTAATAATAATAACAATAATAATACAAAATAAAATTTTATAGAAATTTTCTATAAAATATATTTTTTTTTATTAGTAAAAAGCTTAAATTAACTGTTCTTGTAAAAGCATTTTTTTAAGTTGAATAGTAATTGAAGTTATAATCAAAATTAAATGTTTTTTGAGAAAAATATTTGTGTAGAAATTTTCATGTTTTTTTTATTATAATTCAAGAACTTACAAATGCTTTTTCTTACAGAATACAGTTTTTGTTTCTTTTCACTATCTTATTGTTTTAATTTATAATGTGTATTTATTGTTTATTATTATATAGGATAAATCTACCCTCTCTATAAAAAATACATAGTGTAAAATCATCACAACGTTTTTTTTTTATCATGGGAAAAAAATAGAAACGGTGGCATCAGAATTATTGAATCATCACAGTTTTTGAATAAGTGAAAAAAAAATAAGCATGGGATTGGACTGAGGATGAGTGAAGTGAGTAGGGGGTTGGATTTGATCGAAGCAAGTGGGGATAGAGATTGGGCCAAGCGAGGGAAAAAGTGTAAGCATGCTGACTAGAGGGGGAATTTTATTCCCTTTTGTCAATAGGTCTAAGACCCTTGCATATGTGGGTGGCCATTCTGGAGGCATGAAACAACAAATGTTACAAAAGAAAACCGTTTATTTTTTTGACATATACAGTACTTACATAATTAGGTTTACATGTCCAAGTTCAATGGAGTGTCAGTGGAGAAAGCCCTGGATCCTTTCTTTAGTTTTTCTGAAGAACAGCCTTGAACAGTGATGAGTCAGAGATCGAGGTGGCGGCAACGTAAAGGATAACACAACTGGTCTCTCTGAGGGACAATGTAGAAAGAGAAGGTTGGATCTTGGAGGTGGAAGTTCAGAGAAACTCTGTAGAGCAGGGGTGTCCAACCCATGGCCCAATGCAAGTTTTAATGCAGCCCAATAAACGTGTAAACAAAACCGACAAATTTTAAAATTATTTATTTATTTATTTATTTCAACGGCATAAACCTCAAAAAAGAAGTTTCACAAAGCTGTAAACCTTTATACATGTTTTATTTTTTAATAGAAAGGAAATATTTTCAAATATTTGAAATGTGTGAATGAGGAAGGAATACTAAATAAAGCTGGAGTTGTGACTCAAAGGATTATAGCCCCAAATTCGGGGAAAGGAGAGAATGGCCGAAAAATAAAAAGAAGTGAGAAAAGTTGGAAAATTAAGGATCAATATTTGCAAAACAGAAGGTCTATTTAACCGTTCTCACTTCTTTATTTATTTGACCTTTCTCTCATTTCCCCGAATTTGGGTCTATAATCCTTTGAATCCCAACTCTAGCTTTATTTAATATTCCTTTCAGCATTGCAAGATTTGTCTACTTTGAGCCAAATTTAAGTACTTGTTTTTTTAGTTTGGCGTAAAAAAATATCATTTGGCGCATTGGCTACTTTTGGGCTACATATTATTTAAAAATTATTTGTTGAATAAAAATGCACTTTAAAATGGTGTTTCGTTATTGTTTTATTTATTAAAGACCCAAATAAAACAAATATTTGTGTTTTTCCAAATAAATTTTTGTTTGACTCCTTTATAATAAATAAATTTATCTATTTCTAAGTAGAAATTAAAAGTGTCTGTAGAAGTAATTTTTTAAAATATCCTTTTTTGTGATAAAGTTTTAATACTTATTAGTATAATCTAGACATGTAAATCCTTAAATATACTTGTATATTTAAAAATTGGGTCACAATATGCTTGTGGCCCAGAACTCCATGACTTCTTCCAATGTGCCAGAGAAACAAAAAGGTTGGACACCCCTGCTGTAGAGGAAGCCTCTTATCCTCGACAATGAAAGTTTTATGTGTTTTTCATGTTTGATTCTTTTATAATTGTCAGGCTTTCCCTTCCTCATGCACTGATTGGTTTCTTACCTGTCTCGAGGTAGAATTTGAGACCAGTTCAGGTCGCAAGAAATGTCTGCCTAGGATGGTTTATCTGACACCATCCTCTCAACTCTGATCGCAATTTATCAATGACTATGACACCCATGCTCATATTTTACTTTCATTTCCTCTTTTCTTATTGTGTCTTAAGTTTTAAACAATTCCCTTTCTTATTTTCTTTTATTTTAAATATTGTTTTCTCTCTATTCTTTATGAGCAATGATGTCAAAGTCCGGTGTTGCCGTTTCAACACTTATATTACTTGTTTTCTCGATCTTTTAATTTAATAAAATAAACATTTTCTTTTTAATTATGGGCTATTTCCAGGGCCTCACAAAAGTGTGAGTGGAGCTGGATCGAGGAGAATTAACTTGTCATGAAACTTTTGTTATGAATAATCTAACTTATATTGGGAACAAGTGGAAAAGTCTGATATTTTAATTTAAGCATTTGTCATATTAACTTTTCTATACCTTCATCAAAGAAGATTACCACCAGGTTGCTTAGTCAACCCTTCAAGCTGGCCTTTAACTCCTTGTTACTTTGAAACTGTTGCCTTCCTAGCCATTGCTTTGAGTGAGGGAATAGATGGAAATCACTTGGTGCTAAGTCTGGACTGTGGATGATCAAACACTTCCAATTTGAACTTCTGGAAGAGTTCCCTGTCTGTACTGCAGTGTGACGACAAGCATTGTCAGGGAGAAGAACAACTCTCAATAACAATATTCCTTTATTTGTAAAGCTTCTAGTCCTTTTTTCATTTTAGGATTTTATTCTTTTATAGTATGTATTTTTTGGCTAGTAATTTAGACTTATCTTACCCCAATTTTGGAGGAAACTTAACTCAATTTTTTTCTTTTTATTTTTTAGTGTTGCTTTAGTATTTTTAGTAAACTATAAACTCCAAGATGTACATTTTGGGTTTTTTACCCTTCTTCACTTGGAGCTTTACATTTGGATCTAATAAAATTTACATAATTAAAATTTTTTCATACAACGTTACTTAGATTTTGTTAAATGAGAATGATAATTTAACTCACATTAATTTAAGATTTTAACAAAATATTTTTCTTCATTAAATAGGATTTTCTTCATTTTTAACAGTATAATCTTGTAAAAAAATATTTTGTTAAGATGCTAAATTAATGTGAGTTAAATTATAATTCTTGTTTAACAAAATCTAAGTAACATTGTATGAAAAAATTTTAATTATGTAAATTTTATTAGATCCAAATGTAAAGCTCCAACTGAAGAAGGGTAAAAAACCCAAAATGTACATCTTGAAGTTTAGAATTTACCAAAAAATAAAAAGAAAAAACCAAGTTAAGTTTTCTCCAAAATCATGGTATGATAAGTCTAGATTAATAGCCGAAAAATATGCAGCTATAAGAGAATAAAAAGATAATATTCCTTTTTTATTATTTTGCATTGCCTGTTGTAATTGTCGAATTGTTCTGCAGTACTTGGCTGCATTGATGGTCACATAGTGCAATGGAATGTCTCCAGAAGTTTAAATTGAAAGCGTTTGATCATTCACAGTACAGCCCAGACTTAGCACTGAGTAATTTCCATCTGTTCACTCACTTGAAGCAGTGGTTTGGAAGACAACAGTTCCAAACTAACAAGGAATTGAAGAATTGACTGAGCAACCTGGTGGCAACCTTCTTTGATGAGGGTGTAGAAAAGCTGATACGACAAATGCTTAAATTGAAATGACAATTATGTAGAAAAGTAGCTTTTGTAAATAAAACAGTTTTGATCTTCATTGTTTATTTTTTTTCTGACACATTAGAGGTTGGAAAAAAATACCCTTTGCATATTTCAAGTTGCTCTAAATTCATCAGTTCTTCCAGTTTTCTGGCTGATTTGACTGTCTTGGTGATTTTTAGGTCAATTCATATCGTTGGAGTTGTTGCATACATTTCCAATGAAGTTGCTTGTATGCCTTTTTTGGTGTTCTATTGGTTTTCTTTGGTGTATGCATAAATTGATCTATATATTGGTTTTGCATACTTATGCATGGTTTCAAATTCTGATAATTTCTCTGGGATTTTGGAAGGGTCTTGTTGATTTTTGTCATTTTACAACAGTTGATTGTGTCAGATTTTCATTTGTAACTGATGTCATTGTTATTTGTCTGTGCATTTTCTCTATGTCTGCTTTTAAGAGTTTGATTATATGAATAACCCTCGTTTTAGTTGATTTTTGTTTGTTTTTTGTTTTGGAGTCTTGATGGTGTATTTACTAATTAGTTTCTTGATTAATTTTGATGGTAGCCTTGCTGTTTTGCCATTTCTGTAATAAATCTTAATTTATAGTCTGTTTTGATTACATTTAAGCAGCGTGTGAATCCCCTTGTTTTGTTGACTGTAAAGGCTGTTATCTTAAAGTTGAAAAGATCACTTGATATTGCTGGGATGTACAAAGGATGGTGTTTAGATTTCTTATAAACTTCTATTTTTATGCAAATATAAACATCTCTAAGCCTGATAGTTATATTAAAGCCAAATAGTTGCCGGATTACATTAGGTTATATTACTGCCATTATTAATAATTGAATGCTAGGTAATTTCGTCTAGAGGTTGGCATTAGGAACCATCTCTTATTAAATTTAATAATTATATATTAAATATTAATTTATTGGGCTACAATTTTAAAATTGCCCACCTATAAATAACCATTGGTGTCTGTCTGTCTTTCCTTAATCTTGTGAACAGAGTTAGATAGATGAAAGTTGAGACCATTTATAGAAATTTGGAAGCTGGAGACTCTGAATAACTATATATGAACTTTCAGTTTTGACTGAAAGTCATGTTGTTTCAATTCAAAAATTTTCTCCAGAAGAGAGTTAGATAGATGATGGCATAATTCTCTTGTTAACAGAAAAAGTGTGATTTACAGGGGCAAGACACTACTGAATTGCATTGTGCATCAAGATATAAAAAATTGCAGCCCAGCATTGTGATGATGTCACAATAAATAATTGTTTGTTTGTT